GGAGCACAGGTTGAGGCAGGGAGCATAGGTGTACAATACAACAATGGATGTTGCGACCATTGTCCTCTGCTGCTTACAACTTGGGTTGCCACCTTTTCCACAAGGGCCAAACCCAGACATAGGTCTATTCAAACTATGCAGTGTACATGTAGTGCAGTAAAATTCAACACAACACCAGTACCACAATACCGTTTATCGCACCTCCGATTAGCACGGTTGGCTAAGTATGGTGGGAAAGAAGTTCAACATGCATACATACCAGAGCTTGGTGCAATCAATTTCCTGCCACTCAAACACAGAACAATGCCAATTCTGGGACTGTCCCAGTCAAAGCGGGACAAGGTGGCAACTCGACCCCCAACGTGGCCCCAGTAGTCTTGCTATAGAAGGAAAACTACTGCGGACAAATTGGCCAAACAAAACCAAAATACAGGACCTTCTTGACGAAGACAGTTTGAGACTTACTGAGGCTTTCCATTCTGGTGTTGAATGACACAAGCTGGATTGTCTCGATGTTTAGATCATGTGACTCAAATCCCAGCCGAGAAGGGAGTTTGAAAATGGCAAGTGCTATGTTGTAGGAAACGGACATATAAAAGTAGAAATGCTTTCTGTATCTCCATGTCTAAATACGTCTTAGCCCATTGGCCTGTTGTTTTACAAAAAAAAACCGCAGCAATCTTTGTTTAAGCACTCAAACTATGGACCTGTTTTTACTGGACGTATGTTGAACTTCTTTCGCACCGTACCCAGCCAACCGTGCAAATCGGAGGTGCGGGCCGTGCTGGGTAGTGACTGGTCCCCGCCACAGGAATGTGGAAATTCCTCCACTGGCTCAGGGGTCGTAAACGGAGATGACCACTGGCCCCTTGCTGAAATGAGCAGGCTTTAATTTAACGTGGCTTTAATTAATAAATGGGGAGCACATGGAAAGCAGCAAACCTCCAATGTGAGACTGGGCTGCAGATGTAAAACTCATTGTTCTTGAGAAACTGGTTTGATAAAATGAATACAAAAACTTTTATTGTCTCTCCACATATATATTTTAATAAAATTTCAACACTTTCCAACTAAGGTTGAAAGCGTTTAAAAAAGTAATCATCTCCGTCTGTCTAGAAGGTGGGAGGGAATGAAACTTGAGTATAAAGGTGGCTTGCTGTTAGCAACTTACCCGATCGAAAACCAACCACGTTAACCGTGCTAATCAGAGGTTCTTTATGAGCCTTCCGGAAAAATGCTAAATTCGGGCAGCATATTTTTAAGAAGGAAAACTTCGGACCAGATTCGGCAGAGCCAGGCTTATGAAACAAATTCGACCGGGCTTACCAGATGTCATTCGCAAGATCACACCTTCTTCACGTTCAATAAAAACAAACATCACGAATATTCCACCAAAAACTAATTACGCGCTGTAGTGGCGATTGATCGGCGATGAAAATAATAATCGCGCGTAGAGCTCGCTACTCCATCCCAATATTTCATCGGCGCCTGTTCCCTCGTTTGACAAAGCCGTTTTACAAACGACCTGTTGCGTTCCATGTTTGCACGGCGATGTTTATGAGTAAACAGGAGAAAACAAAGTTACGTAACGCTATCATGAAATCGCACGATGGAAACACGATCGGTTTGACGGTTGGATTTATGAGCGCCACATGTTTGCACCAACAGTAAAACATAACCACCCCTATAACGTTAAGTGAAAAATGTGACCAGACTGTGCACATTAATCTCACCGTGCGTGGGATCCTGATATAATGACAGGTGGCTGCTTAAATTCAAACCTAGGCTCTCAGCAGTGCTGACCACAGTGTCTGAGCCAGACGCATCAACATCAGCCCCATATCCCGTACTGGCTGAGTGTCTGAATGATAAAATACCGGTCAACGGGGCATTTTTGAAAATTGAATAACGATTAGCGCACGCCGACCACCTCTCAGTGGGCATTAAAGATCACGTGACTTTCTTTGAAAAAGGCTAAGCCGTGTATGCCGGTCGTCCAAATTTTCCCAATAACAAAAAAAATAACCGTAAATCAACTCCTGTTGATAATTGCGGAAAAAGTCACGAAATCACCCCCTACTGGCGGACCATACTTAGTTTGCTGGTTAGCGCTGCGTGCACCTTGTGCCACACACGCAGGGACGGCTGCCGACGGGGGCCCACCTTTGCGAGACTGGAATGGTTGGGATGAGCTGTGACGCAAGGCGCTTTCAGTTATTGGCGAATTCAAGCACGTGGCCTCTACGTGCAATCCTTATGTTACAAATGAACATCCCAAGCCCATCCTTGCCTGACCCATGCTATGTTACCCAAACATATCCAATGTGCTATGTGAACGAATGAGTACACTACTCTGACCATGTCTATCAAATATGCCCCCGGAGCTTATCCTACAGCGATATTTTTCCCTTGGTGTAAAGGTTAAGGTTGATAACGCAGGGTTGGGGGAATCACACGGTGAGACTGCGAACCTGCAGTTTGATGAAGCGTCGTCCAAGACAATGCAGTAAGATAAGTAGGTTTTCCTGACGTGTAACACTGAAAAAATATATACATTTGAGTGTCATGTGACAAACATTGCTCTGAGTGACAGAGGGGGTGGGAGAGGGACTGCCGACAAAAAGCGACATCAGAGGTAGCTCTGTGAAATCCGCTTCGGAGGGCCACTCTCTTAGCACGAATTGTTGTACTGTCGTGTGACGGTTCCGAATGGGTCCTCTGTCTCGTGAGATGCCCAAAAATTGTATTTAAAAAAGACAAATCTTATTCAAATAAACTTCAGAAGCTGTACCATTGTAACCTGGTATGATGTTGCACCGCTCCTCACAACGAGACTCATGGGTAGACATTTCTCATCTCGTGATAATAACGTCACAGCTGGAATATTACAGGTGGCTGGGATCCCGGGAATCAAAGCGAGATTTTAACTCAGGATCTAGGTGGGTGGCATGGCCACTATAATTCCCATCTAACCGAACCTGGCCACTATGATGCCCAGGGTCGGTTCAGATATCACTCTCCACTGAGGCTAGCCACGGCGAGGATTATAATTTAAAATAAAAACACACCGAGTGGGAACGTGAGAGCCCGAGCACGGTTACTGAAACAGCCAGCGTGAGCCTCCCGGCAAACCAACTCTCCTTGGTTCTTGTTCACAGATAATGATTGTCTGGAGCGTCGAGTGTGGGTGGGTGAGTGGGCGAGAGTGGGGGGCGGGTGTTTTGGGGAGGTTTTCCGGGGGGGGGGGGGGTAGGTGCCGGTTTGCAGGCTAGGCGCAAGGTCCGCCCTGGGGTGGTTTGTCTCATGAGAGAAGGCCACTGTATTTAATTAGAGACATCCGTCCCTTGGGAGCCGTGGCCTTTTCGCAAGGGATGAGCGTCAGGCGAGAGAGAGAGAGAAGGGGGCTGGCGATTTCGAATGCAGCCCAGGCACCTCTTGGCTGCCCGTAGCACACCCGCTGTTGAGGACTACCCACATTAGGAACGACTGATTGCTGTGATCTGATTTACCAGGTTACTGGGGTCTCCCTCGAAAAAGACACGCTCGGGCCTCTTGAACTCCGCGACTATAAAACTGCGCTTCACCACTCTCCTATTAGCGGCTCGTTGTGTTGACCCCCGCCCCACTCCCCACAGTCCGCAGTTATCACGCTACTCTTCCTACTATCCACAAATTGATTCTTCCTGTAATCCGCGCACTTCCTTGGTTAAGAGGATTAACGTGTAAGTTAGCAGAAAATTCTCCCTGTCGTCTGTGTATTTCTGCATTTCCATAGAGCCACCAATAAAACATAATATAATCGTAGTCTTGGTTCTTTCAGTAAAGTCACGTAGAAGGGAAACAATAAAATAATAAAAATATTAAACAATAAAATTCTCACGTTTCGCCTGCAACACAAGCAATCATCATCAGGTGTGAAAACCACAGCAAGAAAATTGTAATGTTTTATATTTTTATTATTTTATTGTTTCCCTTCTACGTGACTTTACCGAAAGAACCAAGAATATGAATCCCTGCAGTCACGAAAGCTTTAAATCAAAACATAATATAATCGTTCAATTCATTGTCATCTTTTTATCCGGCTTTCTGCGGATAAAAAGCAGCGACCCAGAATCAAGTCGCAAATTATTCCTAATCATCTCCGTTTATTGTGGACAAAAGGAATTTATTTGTGTGGGTAAGTGCTGATACTAGGCTTCGCAAACAGTATCCCCACATCAGGGCGAATACGCCGATATAACAACGATGATATTTTTATATTTTACACTTATGAGGCGTCCTACCGAATGCGTTTTTCGAGGTACCATTGAGCACCTTCCAATACGAGGTCACCGCGATGACTGCCATCGGGGGGGGGGGTGCCACCACACCACGCTATCACTTCCTTCCTACTGCCAGATTCAACATCTATTGCGCTTTCATTGTGTTCGGCACGTTCCATGCCATTATTGTCACCACCACCATCATCATCATCACCACGATCACCTCCATCTCAGCTCTCCGTGCTACAACAAGACTGTCATCCTTGTGCGATCCACCATCCCACCCTCCTGACTGAACCTGGGTTACACGGTGGCAAGGAAACACTTTGATCGCCGCTTCCGCGTGGGACAGGAGGCGCGGTGGGACGGGGGAGGGGGGGACGGGGGAGGGGGGGATGAGGGGGATGGGGGGGACGGGGGGACGGGGGGGTGTAACGATGGCTCAACATTTTTTTGTTCATCACGGTTTGCCGAGCGCAGGCCCAAAGGTCCCAAAACGCCGGAGTGGCCACTAAGTAAGCAGCACCACCGCTAAAGGCGCAATCGGGCAAGAGTTGACGGGTGCCTTGAGCCGTGCGAAGCTGTTGAGGACTCTGCGGGGGGGGGGGGGGGGGCGGGGATCCAAGAGCGGAGCAACGCGAGCGACGGAGCAAAAGTGGGGGGGGGGGGGGGGCGGTGGTGGAAGTGTTGCGACCTGCGGGTGTGGAGAGTGAGCAGTGTGCGAGGGCGATCTCTCACCATGGTCTTCATCTCCTTGGAGACGTGGTTGGACATGAAGAAGGGGCGCTCAGGGCCCCACGGAGAGCCCATGTTCCCCAGGGAGTTGGTCCTCGCCCGGTTCATCTTCGCGATCATCGCCTTCTCCTCCTTCTGCTCGCACGCGCACAGGGCAGTGTGGATGCATTACAGCAGAGACAAAGATGTCCCATAGAGGTAAAACAAGACTGTTGGGGAAAGTGCTGTTATCGAGCACCTACGAAGGCTGGCACGGCGCACGAGAGGGTGGCGTGGCCGACGCTATGCCTGGCCGCCTTTGTCTCCCCAGTGCTGGTGTTAACACACTTCATCAGGTTGTCATTTTTTTAATGCTGAATAGACCTAGGGCAGACCCGAGATTAGTGCAGACATTCATGATTGTTATTTTGGCTGATGAGCAGGAATCAAACTCGGGTCACCGAGTTTGTAGTGCTGTGAGCTAACCGCTACACCACCACTCCCACATATACACAGACAGAGTTGATGGTCACTCAGTGCTACTGGCACTCATTTTTAAGGCTGAGTCAGCCTAGTGGAGGCCCAGAACTGGTTCAAATTTCACTCGCCACTGACACCATGCTTGGCTGGAAATCGAACACGGACATCCAAGTGTTTGTGCGCACGTGCCCTAAACTTCTTTTGTACCGCACGTACCCGACCATGGATTAAAGCACAAACCGCGCCATCAATCCCCAATAGTAATGGTGCAGCCCTGGAATGTCTTTGCTTGTTGCCACTGCTGGTAGCAGTGCCAGCAGCAGAGGGAGCTCTTGAGGGTCTCTTCCAGGTGGCAGTCGGTCTACTCTTCTATTTTTGACCAGACGTCCCGAAAGAAGTTTTACGGTTGTGTATCAATTTTGCTACACCGAGATTATGGGATAACTTTTTAAAGATAAACAGGGTCTGCCTGCTAGAGTCCTCCTTTACGACCCTCTACTCCGGACAGCACGGAGAAACGGAGAGGGGGGGGTGGGTTCTGTTAACGGCTCAACATTGCCGGCGAAAAACTTTGCCTTTTTAAGCAGAAACGCGGTCGACCGCGCGCGGCTATAAATATTTCAAACGGCGGTGGCCACTTTGTTGCAAAGTGCTTTTATAATTACACATCGGTCAGTCAACGCCCTATTACACACGGCGCTGCCATACACATTGGTGTGAGCAACTACCATGCCAGAGGGGTTACGTGACGGAGAGCTTGACTCACAATCGGAATGTCGCCAGTTCAAACCCTGGCCGCGGGTCAGCTTAGTCCGTCGTCGTCATAGTCGTCGTCGCCTTCCCACTGGTGTCGTTAATTTGAGCACCACTTTGTTGGAAGCCAACTGCGGTTGACCTTTGTAGAAGGGAAAGTGATTGGATCTCCGCCATGTGAAAATGGACCAGCAACAGAAGGTGCGATACCTGAAATGTTCAGGTGCATGGCAGGGAATTTTAGGTACGGTGCAGAGGAGTTTTGGTGGTGGGGGGGGGGGCGCGTGATATTGATACTGTGATCTAGGTGCGATATAGGTGTGTATACAGTGAGGGAAAAAAGTATTTGATACCTTGCTGATTTTGTACGTTTGCCCACTGACAAAGAAATGATCAGTCTATAAGTTTAATGGTAGATTCATTTGAACAGTGAGAGACAGAATAACAAAATAATCCAGAAAATCGCATGTCAAAAATGTTATAAATTGATTTGCATTTTAATGAGGGAAATAAGTATTTGACCCCTCTGCAAAACATGACTTAGTACTTGGTGGCAACACCCTTGTTGGCAATCACAGAGGTCAGACGTTTCTTGTAGTTGGCCACCAGGTTTGCACACATCTCAGGAGGGATTTTGTCCCACTTCTCTTTGCAGATCTTCTCCAAGTCTTAAGGATTCGAGGCTGACGTTTGGCAACTTGAACGTTCAGCTCCCTCCGCAAATTTTATATGGGATTAAGGTCTGGAGACTGGTTAGGCCACTACAGGACTTTAATGTGCTTCCTCTTGAGCCACTCCATTTTGTTGCCTTGGCCGTGTGTTTTTGGTCATTGTCATGCTGGAACACCCATCCACGACCCATTTTCAATGCTCTGGCTGAGGGAAGGAGGTTCTCACCCAAGATTTGATGGTACATGGCCCCGTCCATCGTCCCTTTGATGCGGTGAAGTTGTCCTGTCCCCTTAGCAGAAAAACACCCCCAAAGCATAATATTTCTACCTCCATGTTTGAAGGTGGGGATGGTGTTCTTGGGGTCATAGGCAGCATTCTTCTTCCTCCAAACACGGCGAGTTGAGTTGATGCCAAAGAGCTCCATTTTGGTCTCATCTGACCACAACACTTTCACATAGTTGTCCTCTGAATCATTCAGATGTTCATTGGCAAACTTCAGACGGGCATGTATATGTGCTTTCTTGAGCAGGGGGACCTTGCGGGCGCTGCCGGATTTCAGTCCTTCACGGCGTAGTGTGTTACCAATTGTTTTCTTGGTGACTATGGTCCCAGCTGCCTTGAGATCATTGACAAGATCCCCCCGTGTAGTTCTGGGCTGATTCCTCACCGTTCTCATGATTATTGCAACTCCACGAGGTGAGATCTTGCATGGAGCCCCAGGCCAAGGGAGATTGACAGTTCTTTTGTGTTTCTTCCATTTGCGAATAATCGCACCAACTGTTGTCATCTTCTCACCAAGCTGCTTGGCAATGGTCTTGTAGCTCATTCCAGCCTTGTGGAGGTCTACAATCTTGTCCTTGACATCCTTGGAGAGCTCTTTGGTCTTGGCCATGGTGGAGAGTTTGGAATCTGATTGATTGATTGCTTCTGTGGACAGGTGTCTTTTATACAGGTAACAAGCTGAGATTAGGAGCACTCCCTTTAAGAGTGTGCTCCTAATCTCAGCTTGTTACCTGTATAAAAGACACCTGGGAGCCAGAAATCTTTCTGATTGAGAGGGGGTCAAATACTTATTTCCCTCACTAAAATGCAAATCAATTTATAACATTTTTGACATGCGTTTTTCTGGATTTTGTTGTTGTTATTCTGTCTCTCACTGTTCAAATAAAGTTAATAAACCTACCATTAAAATTATAGACTGATCATTTCTTTGTCAGCGGGCAAATGTACAAAATCAGCAGGGGATCAAATACTTTTTTCCCTCACTGTAGGTGTGATACAAGTGTGATCTAGGTGTGATCTAAGTGCGATACAGGTGTGTCTAGATGTAATTTAGGTGCGATATAGGTGTGGTCTAAGTAAGATACAAGTGTGTACAAGTGTGATCTAGGTGTGTATAGGTGTAACCTTGGTGCGATACTGGTACGAGATTGGGGCGTGTGCACTCACTCTCTTCTGGCTGCAGCCCACAATGAGAAAGGTCTCGATGCTGTGTGTCTTCAGATAGGCGTTGCGCTCGCCACCGTGCCCAGCCTCCACCTCGTAGTCCCCGTTGAGGTACCGCAGCGTGGCCTTGGTGATGTGGATCCGCCTGCGGGTGCACGCACGCACGTACGATATAACATGCTGTTGCGGCGAGTGCCGTCACCAAGTGCCTACTGAGGCTGGCACGGTGCAAGTGAGGGTGGGGAAGCCAGCACCACGCCCGGCCGCCTTTGTCTTACCGTGCCAGGTACTAATTTAAAGGCTGAGTCGACCTAGGGGAGGTCCGGGACCGGTTTCAGGTACGGTATACGTCACCGATGTTGGCTGTGGGCGGGAATTGAACTCGGGTCTCCAGGTTCGAAGCGTAGAGCGTTAACCACTACACTACCACCGCTCACCACTTCAAAGACACACACACGTGCGCACACATGGACTCATGCCCAAACACAACGTGGGCAAATACACATTAAAGGATGTGTATGGCAGTTGTGCACAGCATGAATCATCTGTCACTGACGACAGCACAGATTTGGCCTTGAACGATTAAATCTGAGTCGAGAAATTCAATCTCAATTTAAACATTCCTTGGGCTGAAGCGATGGTGTAGCGGCTTGCACGCTGCACTGTGAACCCGGCGAGCCGAGTTTGATACCAGGCCATGGCCAATATCGGTGACGAGTGATGTCTGAGTCGGTCCACGTACCCCGCCTTCACCCATCCGCAATGACCCAGTGTAGTGAAGTATGGCCAAACAAACCCCGATGCCATACACATTACACGGCATGCAGATGCCTTCATCCAGCAGCGGACTCAGAAAGGGCAGCATCTAAATGTGCTTCACCTTGTTCACGTAACAAAACAAAGTTCCCCCGTGTAGCCTTCACAGAATGTTGGGGCAAGTGCTGTTAGCGGGCACCTATGAAGCCCGGCACGGCACACGAGGGGGTGGGTGGCCAGCACCACGCCCGGCCGCCTTTGTCTCCCCAGTGGAGATGTTTACACACCGCAACAGGTACTCATGCGAGGCTGAGTTAACCTAGGGGAGGCCCAGGACCGGTTCAGATGATCGTCACCGGTTGTGGTCGTGAGCGGGAATCGAACTCGAGTCGCCGGGTTCGTAGCGCAGTGCGCTAACCGCTACCACTACGTCTCCCCACGTGTAACGCGCACACATTCACTTACGTAACAATCGCATTCATTACGCGCGCGTTCACATGTAATGTAATGCAAACACTGTATACAAATGCACTTAACCCTTGCACTGGCACGTTCATTGTGATTAATGTTTCTTTTTTTCTCGTCGGAGGGCAGACGTCCTTGGTTAAAATAAACAGCCGGCATGCGTACGCTTGAGGGGCCTCCAAGTTCATCAGAAGCGATTTGTGCGTTTACAGTTCAGCTAAAGGCTCTCTTCGTGTGCGGTCGCGTTTGGCACATCGGCGTCCATGCGCTCGTGCGTGCGCGCGTGTGCACGCGGTTCATGCGTGCGCGCGTGTGTGAGTTGGTGGAGTCGGGTTTTTTGTTGTTGTATTATTTCAGCGTCACCGTGGTCATCTGCTCGTCTTGGCGAGGCAATGCGACAGCCGCTTCCGCCAGCAGTGTGCAGGGAAAGGGGCCCCCGGTGAGTGGTGGCGCCGTGGTTTGTATCCCTATTCATCCTGCTTTTGTACTTGTTTGTTTTTGTGACGTTCTTATACCACGTGCCCCTATTGGACGTCTGTGAAAGAAAGAGCTTTGTCGCTCATCGGATTCCTCCAGCATAAATAAATACTCTGATTCTGTTATGCACAACACCGGCGCAAAGGCAGCATTTATATCTGGTATAGGCTGCCCCTAGGATCGGCCACCCCGAATTTTTACTTACAGGGACTCATATTCTTGGTTCTTTCGGTAAAGTCACGTAGAAGGGAAACAATAAAATAATAAAAATATAAAACAATAAAATGCTCACGACGTTTCGACTGCAACACAAGTAATCATCAGGTGTGAAAACCACAGCAAGAAAATTGCTGTGGTTTTTATTATTTTATTGTTTCCCTTCTACGTGACTTTACCGAAAGAACCAAGAATATTAATCCCTGCAGTCACGAAAGCTTTAAGTGAAAATTTACAAGGATTCCTCTATTTACGAGCTAGTTAGGTTCCAGAGGTCTGTTCGTAAATCGATTTGTTCGTCCTGTCGATTCCAAACATGTTTTACGGCATGGGGAATGGCTTTAAAAGTTGTATGATCTCCTCTAGATGTAGATGCCACTGCCACCATCTAATGTGCGGCAGTTTAACTTACGACTCTCTTTCCGACAGGCAACTGGACATATGGACAAGTTTGTTAGTATCTCTGAAAGTTCGTAAGTCGAGTGTTCATAAGTAGAAGAGTCCCTGTACATACTTTATCTTTTATATGCTTAGTTCTTTCGGTAAAGTCACGTTGAAGGGAAATTATTATTTTGTTGTTTCCCTTCAACGTGACTTTACCGAAAGAACTAAGAATATGAATTACTGCAGTCACGAAAGCTTTAAATCAAAATTTATACTTTATCTTTTTTTATTGATCTAGAGTGATTCGCTTACCTTTCCTATACTTTGTACTCCTAACACTTTTTTTTGCATTATTGTTGCGACTTTCTGACCGCCATGCCCCTACTGGACAAGTGTGCAAAAGAGCTTCATAGCTCATCGGATTTTTTCCAGGGATAATAAACATTCTGATTCTGACTCAGCATCGACTGAGTGCATAGCTGGTGCCGGAACGTGATGAACATGACTATATCAGGGATACAAGGGCTTGCGTTTGGGAATTTAAATTTGTGAGAGTACACTTACTCACGAGAACGTGCAAATTGCATAAATATAAATTATTCGTGCAACAATTCACTGCCCATTGCAAGTCAAGCCACTGGGAGCTAAGCACTTTTAAAACTAAATTGAAAACTCATTTATTTATAACCGTTTTTTTTGTGTTTAGTTTGTTGTCCTTCCCCCCCGTACCCCCAATCAGCATGGTTTGCTACGTACGGTGCAAAAGAAGTTCAACAACAAATACAAGGAATGGTCACGATTCGGATTCAGGAGAAAACTGAAGAATCGATCACGTTGCGCCTCGTTCGTTGCCGTTTTTCTACGTCGCTTGTACAGTTTCGTTCGTGCGTGTATCTGCATATCGTACAAATAAAGTTAACGAACAGGGTTTTGATACATTTTTGACGTCTCATTCTCATTTGCTACACCTTGTGCGCTCTATCTCAATTGACTGTAATGGGCAACATGCAACTTTTGCATATACTTGAAACAAGTCGTAACTTTACACACGTACAGTGAGGGAAAAAAGTATTTGATCCCCTGCTGATTTTGTACGTTTGCCCACTGAGAAAGCAATGATCAGTCTATAATTTTAATGGTAGGTTTATTTGAACAGTGAGAGACAGAAAAACAACAAAATAATCCAGAAAAACGCATGTCAAAAATTTTTATAAATTGATTTGCATTTTAGTGAGGGAAATAAGTATTTGACCCCTCTGCAAAACATGACTTAGTACTTGGTGGCAAAACCCTTGTTGGCAATCACAGAGGTCAGACGTTTCTTGTAGTTGGCCACCAGGTTTGCACACATCTCAGGAGGGATTTTGTCCCACTCCTCTTTGCAGATCTTCTCCAAGTCATTAAGGTTTCGAGGCTGACGTTTGGCAACTCGAACCTTCAGCTCCCTCCACAGATTTTCTATGGGATTAAGGTCTGGAGACTGGCTAGGCCACTCCAGGACCTTAATGTGCTTCTTCTTGAGCCATTCCTTTGTTGCCTTGGCCGTGTGTTTTGGGTCATTGTCATGCTGGAATACCCATCCACGACCCATTTTCAATGCCTTGGCTGAGGGAAGGAGGTTCTCACCCAAGATTTGACGGTGCATGGCCCCGTCCATCGTCCCTTTGATGCGGTGAAGTTGTCCTGTCCCCTTAGCAGAAAAACACCCCCAAAGCATAACGTTTCCACCTCCATGTTTGATGGTGGGGATGGTGTTCTTGGGGTCATAGGCAGCATTCCTCCTCCAAACACGGCGAGTTGAGTTGATGCCAAAGAGCTCCATTTTGGTCTCATCTGACCACAACACTTTCACCCAGTTGTCCTCTGAATCATTCAGATATTCATTGGCAAACTTCAGACGGGCATGTATATGTGCTTTCTTGAGCAGGGGGACCTTGCGGGCGCTGCCGGATTTCAGTCCTTCACGGTGTAGTGTTACCAATTGTTTTCTTGGTGACTATGGTCCCAGCTGCCTTGAGATCATTGACACGATCCTCCCGTGTAGTTCTGGGCTGATTCCTCACCGTTCTCATGATCATTGCAACTCCACGAGGTGAGATCTTGCATGGAGCCCCAGGCCGAGGGAGATTGACAGTTCTTTTGTGTTTCTTCTATTTGCGAATAATCGCACCAACTGTTGTCACCTTCTCAACAAGCTGCTTGGCAATGGTCTTGTAGCCCATTCCAGCCTTGTGTAGGTCTACAATCTTGTCCCTGACATCCTTGGAGAGCTCTTTGGTCTTGGCCATGGTGGAGAGTTTGGAATCTTATTGATTGATTGCTTCTGTGGACAGGTGTCTTATATACAGGTAACAAGCTGAGATTAGGAGCACTCCCTTTAAGAGTGTGCTCCTAATCTCAGCTTGTTACCTGTATAAAAGACACCTGGGAGCCAGAAATCTTTCTGATTGAGAGGGGGTCAAATACTTATTTCCCTCACTAAAATGCAAATCAATTTATAACATTTTTGACATGCGTTTTTCTGGATTTTGTTGTTGTTATTCTGTCTCTCACTGTTCAAATAAACCTACCATTAAAATTATAGATTAATCATTTATTTGTCAGCGGGCAAACGTACAAAATCAGCAGGGTATCAAATACTTTTTTCCCTCACTGTACACCATGTATGTGTGTGCACGTGCGTACGTACGCGTGCTAGTGTGAGCTAGGTAGGGTCGCCTATACATGGCTTGCCAACACATACGTGTGTACATGCCGTAGTGTAGCGGTTAGCACGCTGCGCTACGGACTTGGTAACTCGAGTTCGTATTCCCACTGACGGCCAACACCAGTGACGATTATTTGAAACGGCCCGGTCCCCCCCTGGGTCGACTCAGCCTCAAATGAATACCTGGTGTGATGTGTAAATATTTTCACTAGGGAGACAAAGGCGGCCGTGCGTGGTGCTGGACACCCACCCCCTTGTGTGCCTTGCCGGCCTTCATAATTGCTCGAGAACAGCACTCGCGCCAAAAGTCTGTTACAGGCTATACGGGGGATCTTTGCACATTCCCTGGCCCCCAAGACTGCCCTAAGACTCGTTGGATTGGACCTTGGCTGCCCTGAGGATGCCGAGCTGACACTCGTTGGTGCCGCCCCGGGCTGCCCCTTGGGCCCATCCCTGTCGTTGGTGTTGGGGTCCCAGTTTCTTGGTACCTCATCCAACCCTCTAGCCCCCCCCCCCCCCCCCCCCCCCCCCCCGCTTCCACCCTCATAAGTACATCACCTTTTTGTAAAGTTAAAGCATCCTGGGCTTTTGATGAAAAACAAAATCATCCGGAATGCACCCGACCCAGATCTCAGAAGCTAATCAGGCCTTGAGCACCCATATGGTGCTCAGTTGCTCGCAATGGCCACCACGATGCCCTAACAGGTGTTATAGATGCTCCGGGTCTACGGTGCGAGTGCCAGAAGGCCCTGCAGCAAAATCCATTGTCCCACGACCCGCGTGGTGTGTGCCAGTGGAGCTCTTATCCAGCAGTGGATTGACAAAGGGGGCTGTACGTGTAGAGAGCGGCCATTTTAGAACACCATGTTAATTGATATTGTGATTGTTGTGTTTGGTTGTTGTTGTTTGTTGTGTGCACACTGCCTACCCGGCCTTGCCCCCGGCCTCCATGTGGTTGGCCAGGGTGACGTCGTTGGACCAGACGTCAAACTGCCACTTGATGAGTCCGAGGACCCCGCAGTGGACGCGTCCGCTGTGGATGCCGACTCGCATGTTCACGTTGACGCCCGTCACCTCCCGCACGAGCCTGGCGCACGAGCAGGCACACACATACACGTACACACACGCGCGCACGCACAGGTGAACACGCACACGAACACAGACATACATTCATACACATACACACATACACGTGCATACAGGTGAACATGCAAACGAACACACATCGCATATTCAAAAGACAAAGATCCCCTGTTTAGCAAGTGTTGTTAGCGAGCACCTATGAACGCCGGCACGGCACACGAGGGGGTGGGTAGCCAAACCACCGCCGGTCGCCTTTGTCTCTCCAGTGGCGATGTTTACACATCGCACCAGGTACTCATTTAAGGCTGAGTCGACCTAAGGGAGGCCCAGGACCAGTTCAGATAATCATCACTGGTGTTGGCCATGAGCATGAATCGAACCCGGGTTGCCGGGTTTGTAACGCAGCGCGCTAACCACAACGCCACCGCTCCCTACGTATATTAATAAACATGTACACACACACACGCGCATGCAAGTATACACACAAGTATGTTAATATGCATGAGCACACACGCGCATGTATATATACACACACACACATGTACATATAAGTGAAACATGTACATAAAGACAAATATATCCATATATCCTGCTTGGTCAACAGAGGCGGAAGTATTGAAGAAAGTTGTCCATTGTAATAACTGCCATTCTGTGGTATTGAAGAAAACAGTCAAACTCTGGATTGCAATTTCAGTGTGCTAACCATTACACCACGGGTCGGCAACCAAAATAACAAAAGGTATTTGTTTCAAATTCGGTATTAAAAAAAACCCTCAATATTTCAAGAACCGCAATGCGCGTGGTGAATACGAGAAGATGTTGGCCTTAATTAATAACATCCACGAAGCAGCCCTTAAACAGTCACAAGCGTCTCAAGAGCCCCGCAAGTTGGCAACCCGAGCAATTAAACAAAAAACGTATTTATTTTACCAGGTAAGGCCCCCACTGAGCTATGTAGCTCTTTTTTCAGAAGCGACCTGGCCACATATGATAGCCCAACGAAGTGGCCTATTGTGTGAAAATCTAGAGCAGCCAAATACTTCAAGAGCATGTTTCTAAATGTGGAGGGAAAAACCAGAGGACCTGGAGAAAAGTCCACGTGACCACGAGGAGAGAGAGAGACACGCAAACTCCAAATAAACAGCAAGCGTCAGGGTTGGGATTGAACCCACGACATCCTGTATACCAGGTGAGGTAGTTAACATCTCGCCACCACAGCGCCCTTAGACCATGACAGCAAAAATTACAGGGCGGCTGTAGCGGGAATGGATCCGGCGACTCCGGGCGTGCCGGTTCGATGGCGTGCCGGCTGACGTCTGGAACATCTCGGTCTTGGTAAGCAAAAAAAAAAACCTCGTCGAAATAAGAGCATGTGAACCCAAAGTTTCTCCAATCATTGTGCCCGAAGCGAGGCTTTGAAGTTGTGAGTGCATTTATGTAACTCGGCACCGTTATGTAAGCCAGGGCTTGTGCTGCCGCCACTTGGGCGTGATTAACTTTTCTATTTCCCAACGAGAAAAAAAGACAAAACCCCCTGAATTGGGTTGGCGTTGAAATTTGAATTTTAGAGAACGCAATTTATACGTTCAGTGATTAAGATGGATTCATAATGGCCAAGTCTGAGCCACTGAAGGCAGGCCTGCTGGGATGCCCGGTTCATGCCCTGAGGCTGGGTTACCCTCATGGGGCTCGTAACGGCCACTTCATAGCTAATGAGCCAGAAGCACAAGTGAGATCTCTGGCTTCAAATCCTTTGGATCCCATTCTAAATTAAAAGAGGTTCGTGTGAGTTTGATGGTCTCTATTAATTAATCTGCTGCTTCTATGTATATATAAAACAAAAAGAAAATGTTATCCAAGGCTCAAAAACGAGCATGTTGCACCACCTCTCATCTCTGTTTATAGTCGAGCCAGGAGTGAAAATTCCACATTCCCATGGTGAAAGCCGGTCCATTCTTATGACAACCAACATGCTGATGTCCCACAAAGTGATACTTACCATATTGACCCCCGAAGGATGAAAGGCCGAGGCGGAACCTGACCAGGATTTAAATGGCTGAGCCGGAACCTGACCAGGATTTTAACGTTCCAAACCCATAACTCAATTTTTTTTTAAATCGCTATTTGTATAACCTTTTTTTAACTTAATTCAGCGACACCCAGCCTCCGAGGACTACACTTGATAATCATTCATATCTCAGATGACTGACATTTGGCGAACCACTCATTGCAGGGCATTAAGGAGTGCTCTTTGCAAAAACATCTGGTAACCTAGCAGCATTCGATTAACAATCCCAGCTCTGCTAATAAAACCCCAAAAAAGGTCAAGGTTGGTCTCGAGTTTTGCTTTCTTAAAATAAAATGCCGCTCAAGAGTAATTCATCTTGAATGTTAGTAGGCTGATGGACGAGAAACTATTCTAGTTTTGGGGTGAGACATCTCCGTTTCCGAGGCATCAATTGAAGTTGTCCTGCGGTTATGACTTCCCGACCTCTCAGAGTCACCGGGTGTGAATGGGTGTTACTTTGGCTTGTGCCTCGCCAACTCTAATCGCTTGAATGATTATTTTGAATGTCTAAAAAGTGGTGTGTATGGAGATGCGCGTGTGTGCATGTGTGTAAATGTATACCTGTTGGGGAGAGGTATTGACGTGGCTAGCATGCTGCGCTACAAACCTGGTAACCCGAGTTCGATTCCTACTCAGGGACAAGATCGGTGACGAAAATCTGAACCTATCCAGAGCTTCCCCTAGGTTGACTCAGCCTCAAATGAGTACCTGATGTGGTGTGTAAACATCGCCACTTGGGAGACAAAGGCATCCGGGCACAGTGCTGCTCACTCACCCCCTCATTTGCCGTGTCGGCCTTCATAGGTGCTCACTAACAGCACTTGCCCCAACAGTTTTTTTAAGGTTATTCGGGGGGTCTCTGTCTTTGTGTAAATATGTACATAGTTGGGTGGAGCAGTGGTGCAGTGGTTGGCACACCGTCCTAGAAAGCCAACCACCCGAGTACAATTCCCAGCCATAGATAACATCAGTGGAGAATATCTGAACCAATCCTGGGCCTTAAATGAGTACAAGGAACGGCATTTAAACATCGCCACGGGGGATACAAAGGCGTGGCACTGGCCACCCACCCCCTCGTGTGGCATGCCAGCCGTTCATCGGTTGTTCGCGAACAGCACTTGCTCCTGCAGTCTGTTAAAGGCTATACGTGTGATCTTTGTTGCGTGTGTGTGTGTGTGCGTGCATGCATCGTACGAGATGGCCTCGATCATGTCGACTCCCATCTCAACACAGCAGTGCGCGTGGTCTGCGCGTGCCTCTGGCAGCCCCGACACACAGTAGTAGCAGTCGCCCAGGATCTTGATCCTCAGGCAGTGGTTTTCCTGAAGAGCAAAAGGCAAAGATCCCCCGAATCGCCTCGTCAACTGCTGGGGGCGAGCTCTGCACACATATAAGCAATGGTCCCTCAGTATTAATTGGTTTCACGAAAACCATCGTTAATTGGAATGATTGTTAAGCGAACATAGGAAGCACACGCTAAAGGCTTAATTTGTTCCAAGACGATCGGAAGTTCACCTTATTCACTCTAAAAACATAGTTTATAATAGTTAAGCACACAATTTTAATAAATAAACGTCATAAGAACATATTCTTTGGGTCTTTCGGTAAAGCAACGTAAATAGAACAAATAATAAAATAAAAAAGTATATTCTTTTTTTATTATTTGTTATATCTCCCTGGCTTTACCGAAAGACCCAAACAATATGAATTACTGCAGTCACGAAAGCTTTAAGTCAAGTTATAAGAACATATTAAAGCCTCAATATTCGTAGAAACTTGGATAATAATGAATAAATATAGAATAAAAATGGTGCATAAATAGAGAATAAAAATGCTTACCTTAGGCTAAGAAGATGGATGGCATAAGGAGTTAATGGAGAAATTGGGGTAGGAGAAAATAGTTTTCCTCACTTTCTTGTCTTTCTTCACATTCATTTTAGGGGCCATTATTATTGATGATTTAACGTTCAAGAAAAAAAAAACCACTAAGTATTCAAGAGAGCTGTTTCCATAAGCAACGCACAATAAACATTGAAAAGCTAGCAGCTAGTTGCTCTCAAAACGCTCATGAAAGGGCGTCGTTGATTGGCTGAGGTCTGCCAAATCCACTTAGGAGCTCTCCGATTGGCCGAAATTGGCGGCTGCGTGATATCGTGAACATATAGTTAATCGAAAATGTATCGTTAATCGAAACATTGGGACCCTATGGGAGGCGGATCGTTTATCGAAATATCATTAATCAATGGCATCGTAAACCGAGGGACCATTGTATATATGTGTATATACAAACACGTATACGTACCGACACACTCGTGTGTTAAAAACGAGCAATGTATACCCCGATGCGTAATGAGACTCTGCATGCTTGTGCTTTTTTTGTATGTATATGCGCAAGTTTACGTGTCTGTGTGTACGTGCTTGTAGTGGAGCAGTGGCACAGTGGTTAGAGCACTGAGCTAATCCGGCGATCCGAGTTAGATTTCCACTCGCGACCAATAACAGCGGGGAATATTTGAACCAGTTCCGGGTCTCCCCTAAGTCAATTCAGCTTTAATGAAGTACCTGGTGCATTGTGTAAACATCGCCACTAGGGAGACAAACGCGGCCAGGCTTAGGGCTGCCTCACTCCCTCCCCTAGCATGGCCATGCTTGCCTTCATAGGTATTCGCTAACAGCACTTGCCCCAACAGTCTGTTTCAGGCTATATGTGTGAATCTTTGTCTCTTTGTCTTTGTGGGACAACGTACCGCGGCCAGTTTGTCGAAGCGCGCAAACAGTTCGTTGAGTGTCATGACGAGCTCCTGGGCCGTGCACTGAGACGCCAGGCTCGTGAAGCCCTCGATGTCTGCAAAGAGGATGCTGGGAGATGGACGGAAAGACAAAACTTATCGTTAAGCCTCTGCTAGGAAACAGACACTGGCACGAGATTAAAACGCAGCTTTTCGGAAGCGGGCACAACGATCAATATTTGTTTCTAGGTTAGACCACGTGGCAGGTTTTTTTGTTGTTGTGAGAATTTATTATCATTAACTCTTCCGCTGCTCGGCAACGATGTCAGGTTTGCAGAGATGGTATTTATACGCGCCAATGTATTGATCAAGGTATTGCACCTGCCCATTGCACGATCAAGAAGAAGCTCAAGAGCAGTTTAAAACAAAACGTCATCGTACGTTTGTATTAATTTCGGGCATGAAAACTCTTAAGCCACCGGTGAGGAACTTTATTGTAAATCAGAATGTTGAACTTCTTTCGCACCGTACGTAGCCAACCGTGCTAATCGGAGGTGCGGTCAGAATGTTATCGCTACTGTACAGTGATTGGCACGTATGCATAATAGCTTTATATGCGTGGCAATCTTGTCGGGTGGTGGAAGGTTAATGGAAAAATGCTTGTTATAAGACTACTACAGGTGTAGTGACATTAATCGTGTCACTATGGCGTCAGCATCAGTTGCTGTCACGAGAGTGGAAACGCACATAGGGAGTCTCTCTGCCACCAGAACATGGGTTGACATGGAAGCTGGCCATAGGGGGCATAGTTCTGGTGAGGGCTGGAGGAGAGCAAGTGAGGACGTGCTACTCCGTGTGAACCCGAGAGGGCATGTGACCGGAGCAGGGTAGCAAGGGGACCCGAAAGGAGACTTGAGGGACACGTGATATGAAGCCGAGAGCCTTCTGGCAAGATCCAGAAGGGGGCGTGGCCGAAGGCGGAGCGAGGGCACGCTCGGCAGGATAAAGGGGAACCTCCAAGAGCAATCGGCGCTCGTCTGTGGAATCAACCTTTGGTGTTACGTCTCTGTGGTCGTCGGTCTTCGCCCGGCATCATGGGTCAGGCAGCGTGTAGGCTTGACTGACCCGGTTGTGTAGTTAACCTGCTGTTCAGATAGTTAACCGTGTAGCTATCACCGAGCAGTAGAACCAGTGTACGTTTAGTGAGTTACCCTGTTGGGGTGTTGAAATAAAAGTGTTGCCTCCAAACTCCAGTGTGTGCCTCTGTACAACACACTACACAGGTATTACGTGACCTAACCCAAAACAAATATAGCTTAGACACCACTACTATCAGTCACATATACTAGTTATATCTACTCGTGTAGATATTTGATCGATCCAATTAGGGATGAGGGCCTCCCCACATCGTGTAGGTGATGGGGATTATTTGACCGTACTTCACTGTGCTGAGCAGTGCGGCGTTGATGAAGTCAGCAAGCGTGGATGCGTAGATCGTAATACAGCAAATCATTTTGCTGCATTGCCATATACGTACCTCCCGTAAAATGGAATGCGGTAAGTAAGGATGGTAGAAAAAAAAATCACAGAGGCTGCCCAACACTGTACACTCTTTGAGTTAAATCTCTGCTGGGAATTGGAACTTGTGACCTTAACGGTGGAGAAACGGGAGCTTTAACCTCACCTCCTACCTGGCTGGATTGGTGTCTTCCTAGAGTCGGCGGTTGCCCATCAACACTCGGGCTGTGTTCGGCGGTTTACAAACCCCAGTGTGACGAGCCATCAAAAGGGTGTTTCTGCAGCAAGCAGCTTAGCCAAGGCACTGTGGCGTCTTGAAATGCGGCGAGGACACGCACAGCACAGCGCAGCCGTGGGAAGCTCTCACTGAGCGCGAGAGCGAAAAGGGTTTTTAAAGAAGCAAGTGCAGCTCAACAAAAATTTCCAACGTTTATTGGGTCTTAGTTTGAAGTGCGATTGCAAAGCTGCTCGCGGGATTGGAAGCTTCGGTTTCCGCTCAAGGCACCCAGTAATTTCTGCGGGGGTTTCAAAGTTTGCAGGTGACCCAAAGCACCTGGAATGCACCAAATGTCTCGATAGATCGCAGAAGCTCGGCAGAGTAGAGTCTCAATCGAGCTTAGATGGATGACCTGGACGCATCACAGGTGCTATAGGCTGCAGGTCTACACGATGATCAGCAAAGGGCAGTGCAGCAAAATCCACTGTTGTAGAGCACTGTATTTCTGTGCTCCCACGCCTATGTTTCCCAACCTGCACTGACCAGCGTGAAGTATGGTCAAATCACCCCCCACAGACCCACGTGGCATGGAACAGGCCAGTAGTTGGGACGGACAGAGGGACGTACATGTGTAGTGACATATAATGAGTCACTACGGTGCCTAGTGCCATCTACCAACAGAGAGAGGGATTGCGTGTGTAGTAGCCCTCACCGCCAGCAGAGTACACGATGTCATGGAAGAGGTCTCTATGGAAGCATGGTTCTGGGGGCTGGCAGAGTAGGGGGCATTTGGGGACGTAGTGCTACGTCTTCTCCTCGGTCTCCGGTCTTCGTACTCGGCATCGTGGGTCAGTCAGTGTGCCGACTGACTTGACCTGTTTATATAGTTACCCCGTGGTGGTTACCTGTTATGTAGTTATCCCGTTGTGGTTACTGGTTATGTAGTTACCCCGTTGTGGTCGGTGAATAAGCATGTTGCCTCCAGAATTAATGTGTCTCTCAAGTGAACCCAACTACACATGTATAGGGTGTGATTTGTTTATTGACATTATGTTATTTCAGCAGGTGAGAAGTTATTGAAGCAAGAAATTTATTTTGCAAGGATTACCTGAAATGAAATAGCAGTTACCCTCAGAGGGAATCTGCTCCTTGTATTCAGATGTGTGGAATTTACACCACTGATTTAGAGATTAGAAATGAGGCCACTTTCATTTGACTTGAAGAATCAAAAATCTAAATGTTATGCTTACACTTTTCAAGGTCTTTCCCAACAACAATGGTGATGATGACACTCCTTGGGCGCTCACTCGGTTAAATAAAGTGGACGGAACAATTTAATGGAGCTACTATTCATGCCCGTACCTCCTGCCAATGACTTTAGCAAAGTGCCGTTTAACCGTTATTAATAATGATAAAGAGAAATAATGATGGCAAATACAATAAAAATAATTAACGGAGCATTCCGAAAGCTCCCGCTTAAATATTTATGGGAAATTGCAAATGATAAAAAATGTAATAGAATCTGACGTTCTTTAGATTGAAGCTGCATCGATGCGGGAGACGCAGTGGTGACTTTGTTTGAAGGATATACAATTTTTTTTTATCTATCGTATTGATTTTCATAATTTAGAGTCAGATAAAGGGCACTTATTCAAATAAAAAGGTGAATTGGAAACACCCAAAACAGTAATTGATTTGAAAAAAATATCCCCTTGGGCTGACAGATTAAATGGTATTTCACTTCAACCATTAAGAACCCCCCTTCTTTACATATTTATTATTTCCGATATTTATTTGTATTTGAGCAACTTTACACCAGCTCTGCCGAAGTGGCCAATTAAACATTAACAGACACAAGTCAAAACAAGCCCTTTAAGACAATTATTAATCCAGTGCGAGTTAACGATTGGCGGTGCTTCCACGGCAACGGCTTGCTAGGCCCATGGGACTTGAGCGACCAACGCAGGCAAAGCAGGAGGCTTCACAAATCAAAAGGCCTCAAGTAGGACCCAACAAGTCCACAATGTGCATTTTCTAAAGCTACCAAAACGTGACAGTTTGTCCAGAACTGTCCCACAGATATTGTCCCGCTGTCCTTGACCTCACGCTTAGGGTTATCACTTGTCCTGGTTTGACCCGGACAGTCCAGGAGAATTTGGGTGGCAGGAAAAAAATAGTTGTCCTGACAAATGGTTGCTATTGTGTTTAACTTCATCACAGTATAACTCCACAGTTCTGACAGACCAGGCTGACTGAGAAATATGCCTGGGTTTAATCTGTGGATAAGATGGCAACCCACCAACCAGTAATCGAACACGTTTGTCAATATCCTCATACTCAACTCATTGCACAGGCAAAGGTGTGGCGCTACTGAGTAATAGGAGGGGTTAACAGTGCAGTCAGCGGGGCCAACATCGCAAAGGCCACTCAGTGTGTGGGCAGAGCTCTGGATGAGTGTACGTTCATAATTCAAGCCCGGGCAGGGCTGGTGGAGGGAGGAGCTGCGAGCTCACCATGTGGCCACAATGAGGCTCCAAGAAATCTGGTAGCTTTAGCATTTTACAAGCGATGAAAAATTGCCTTTTTCAATGGCAGGTTTCGAAACCATAAAGCATACTATGTAGCCCCAAATTATTAAAAACTGTTTGTAGTTGGATATGAACCATAAACTCTGTGGCTCAAGAACAAAGACTTATGACCAATATGCTTGCCCAGCCGCCCCGCAAAAGCACCATGCCTCTTTAAAGTCTAGTTAATCCCTTTGTTGACGAGTTTTTTACTACTGTGATGGTAAAGTGTGCTACAACGGGCATGTTCAATGAAAAAAACGGCACTTCTTATGGGCTCCGGTACATTTAGAGATAATGCCAAGGCTCTTTAACATGTTTTATAATCGCTTAAATTCGCATACAAATTTACGTTTCATTAAAGTCATTGCTTTTTGTTGATCAGCTGATGAATCCGAGAATATTATAGTTCTCTTGGTGGAGCAAAAGGAGTCGCAATCTCTGAAGGAATGAGTTTCAACCCCAGCACCGGGTGACCATCTCCGTCGAGGTTTTAGCAAATGAAGCACAACCTGTTAAGGCCAAACTAATAACGGTTTTGACTCGTCCATGATCTGAGTTTCCATTACGAAGTGTGATAAATTACTCGGCGCGTTCATATTGAACGTCGCCCTAAGAAGCTGAGCAACTTTGACCGTTTTCCGTAACGGCATTGTTTTCTTTTCACAGCCACTGTTGTTGACATCGTTTTACCGTGATGTGATCGATGCCTTGTTTATACAGCAGTGGCCCAATTACAACAGTGAAAGTTAAAGGTGCCAGCGCTGAAATCTCTTGTCCAAGATGCTGCTGGTGAAAGGGCCCCTCCACTATTGGGAGTGATAAAAAGCCCCTTTATAGCAGATGTTTGGCCATAATTTTTCGACGCTGGCCAGTTGTCTTGTAAGAGGCGTGAAATACCCACACTATACCCCACCACACACAATCTTGCTGATCAACTGCCTTTTAGCGCAGTGTTCTTCACTAATTTTCAGAGAGGGCAGCACTTTTTCCAATAAGACACAGCGTGAGGGCAGCCACACATTTGAAACCATTGGGGGTTTGTCAGCATAATGGGGCATTTTCACATGTTGTGTATTATCGGGGGCCGCGCGTCAAGGGGCAGCACGTCAAGGGGCCGCACTAAAGGCCATCAGGGGGCCGCCAGTGGCCCGCGGGACTTGCGATGAAGAACACTGCTCTAGTGTATCCACTTATACTGCTGGGTGGACGCAATTATCTGGCTTAGCCACTTCAACGTAAAATTATAATTGTTGCCCTACATTAACATCGGCAAGATTAAGAAGAAGACCTTCTGCATACCAGGCGAGGGAGATAAGATCTCGCCACCGCAGTGTACATCTGCGTGCGTCGCGAGGCACGTGAGCTCATGCTGCACCTGACGTTGTCGTGCTTCTGGATGTAGATCTTGTGGAACATCATGTCCTCCTTCTTGGCGTTGATGTCGGCCTTCATCTCCATGGCCACGTGGCGGGGCAGCACGGACAGCAGCAGCCGCTCCTGGGGACACAGGGACAAAGGACCACACATTATACCCCTTGTGTTTGGCAATATGTTCAGGAACTAAACGCCAATGCCAAGGTCTGCTGGCCATGAGAGGGCTTCAGGAGAGGGTTTTTTTTTGCAGTGTTGCTATTCTTCCGTTGAAGGAGCACAAATTACCGAGGATCGTCCTCTTTTTGAGGCGGCTCATGTCTCGGGAAATCTGCGAGTCTTGCTAAGGGCATTAAAAATCCAAGTTTGTGTCAGCTACATAATAATGCACCGTTCAAGACAATGCATTTATGTTTGTATGCTGAACTTATTTGTCACTGTACGTAGCCAACCGTGCTAATCGCCTCTTCTGCAATTGTGAGATATTTTTCTTCTTATTCTTCTTCCCATGATATGTCACAATTATTGTTTTGCTCATACCCAAATTGAGACACAGAGACACAGAACGTTTACACAGTTTACGGGGACACAAAGACACCGAAGCACAAGGGAACCAGAGTACACAGAGAGATGGGGAGACGTAGAGGCTCAAGAGTCTCAGGGGGATGAGGCGAAGGGAAACTAAAGGAGAACTGAAACTAGAGGTCAATGCAGGACAGGGCCCAATGCCAGAAAGAGCTAGCAGGAAACTCACTGTGTGGGCCGGGCTAGTGACTGAGTGGGCGTGGCTACGTAAAAATGTGGGCGGGGACTGACAGAGAGAGAGAGAGAGGCTGCCGGTTAACCATGTGTTCTGGTTGAGCCCTCGCTGAAATGTCGTGTAGTAGTGTCATCTACACTGTTAATTTGGCCGTACCACATAGGTTCACTGAAATATTCTTCGACGACCCTGTCCCTCTGTTTTTGGCATTTTTTCTGCAACCAGGGTGAGGCGATTTTCCTCAAAAGTAGTCGTGAAAATTAGTCACGGAAAAATATAGCGTGCAATAATGTAACATCAACATGCATCGGTGTACTTTGTACTGTGGTAGTAGTAGTGGCAGCGGTAGTGCCTTACACCGACATTCTGCTCTACTCCAAGCCAGCCGATAGCATCGTTCGCGACGATATCGTGTGAGAATTCAAGCCCCGGGTGAGGCCCAGTGAGGCAAATGCGGAACCGCTGCCATCATCCCTGGCAACGGACCGGCCGGCTCCCTATCCCGGTCCCTGTACCTGCTGCTGGTTCTCCTTCTGCGTGCGCAGCCGGGCCTTGATGCACTCGCGCGTCTCGTGGAAGGCCTGTCGCTGGGCCACCTCTGTGGGGTAGTGCGTGCACACGCCCGCCATGTTGGTGCACACGAAGACAAGCGCATTGGCGACCAGCTGCACACGCGCCAGGGACACACACGCACAAGCGTACACAACCTTGCTTCAATAATCGTTCGTGTTGGTTTCGATGTCGCGCCGACCTTCGTGCAAATGACATGTCGCGTTCGCCGAGTAGGAACCACGCAGACAAGCTGGAAAGCGGTCAGGTGGTGAGCCGGAGCCAACAATCGCCCCAGCTCTGGCGTCCTCTACGCATCAAGATGTTTTCAGTCAAGTAATGAGTGTTTATAAACGTGTGAGGAAACCGGAGCACCGGAAAGAAAACATTACTCTCGTTTCAAATACAGCGGTGAAATTTGCGACCAAACTACCGCGCAGGGAATGCATTTTAGGCTGAACAAACCTAGAGGACGATCAGGCCAGGTTCAAGATACACACACACACAAATGAGCACTCATCCGGGGTATGTGCTAGGGGATTGAAACGTGTAACAACGTCGATTCGAACTCGTGCTCTGACTGCATAGCGTAGTCCCTCCGCTCGCGCGAACCACGCCGTGTGTACGACAGCGAGCGAGTGAGTCAGCCGCGTTATTAATTTTCCGCGCACGTTCTTATTTCTTTCCGCGGGGCGTATCATCATCAGTTGTTTATTTTCTTATTCACGTTCACACCCGGACAGTGGCGGGGGGGGGGGGGGGCAGACTGCTTCGCGTCCTGCTGCTGCCGCCAAAAAACAAATCCACCGCCGCGAGACGTTGCCACATCGCGGCTTCTCGCCCGCACCCTGCAGATGACACCGCATCGTCCCAATCCTAAAATCCCTTCGCCGGCTCGCGATCCAATCCGGGATAAACAGACAAGATCGGCCCCCACCGTCCCCAAGATCCTCCATCGGCTTTTTCCCGGCGACCTCTCCCCTCTCATTTCGCTCTCCCACCCTCCATGCGCCCTCCCTGCTCGGGCAGCCTAAGCCCCCCATTAAATCCTCTCCAGGTAAGCAACTGCTCAACCAGAGGTCGCTCCGTCTTCTCTGCTGCCCCGACTGTGGTGTGGAACTCCCGAAATGGGAACATTTAACGCGTTTGGTTCGTCCATGCCAATCCTCGCAGAAATCTGCAGAAAATCCACATTAGTCACACACCGTTCACAGTGCCTTCCGTATGTTTTTACAGTTAAATGATAATTTCCTGCAAACGGAAATAAAAGGTTGAATCTAGAGACCGCCACCAACAAACTCGCTACATGCTGAGTTTCCTCGCATCCGTATCGATACTATTGGCATGTCATTATATATCCGCCCATCCCGACATCCACGTGCTTATCCACAGATGAATGCAGATAACATGACCACTCCTGTTATCCGTGAACAGGTGCGGATAACAGGATGAAGCTAGCATTTCCTGAAGATAATTTACGTGTTACTCATCGACACTTAAACAGATAACAGGCCACAGATAACGAGAGTCGTTGGTAGCACAGCGGTGGACGAAGCATTTTACAAATCGCGAGAAGCTATTTCATTAATCTCACGTGGATGGGAGCCTGGATTAGAACCTGGAATCGCAGCGTTGATGATTCAGTGGCTCTGACACGGTCATTAGGACCTCACCGCGCCACTCAGCCACTACCGATTACGATCCATCTCAAGCGGTTATCCTGGATGGGAGCTGTCAGTCCACACAGCTGTGGCCCTGGGACCACTGATAACAATTACCTTTGACAACGTGTTTGGAACTGGTTATGATTTTTAGTTAGCTCCGGTTTATTCCTGTTCCAGCTGTGAGGTTTCCCTCGTGCGGTCCTGTCGATCATTATCTGTTATCATCAACAGTTGCATTCAGACAGTTAACAGAGTGAGTTGGAGCACATCAACCTATCTACTATTCAACCTACATGCATATTATCCTATCTACGTATGTATTACATCACCTATGCATAAACCTACCTACCAAAACCACATACCCATGCATATACCCATGCTTCAACATGTCTACTTGCAAATGTACCTACCCATAATTCTACCTACCTACGGCCCTATCTATCAAGCTACCGACGCATAAACGCTCCAATTATAACTACCCATCAATGTATCTACCTACCTGGCTTAAGTAGCTCTATACCAGGGATTCATTGCTTATTGAATACTTTCGGGGTCTCTGGCAGACTTGAGTAAGCGACCCCATAACTCGTAGCCACAGCCATAGGTATACTGGATGTAGTGTGCCGAGTATGGACATATTTGCCTAGTTGCCAAATCAGACAGATTCAGCTGCAATGGAGCCATGCTATGTACCCATAAATGTGCCTTAGCAATCAAACTAGCTACTTATTAATTTACCGTACTTAGCTACCTCCCTATGCATTAAGCTACCTACAAATAAACCTACCTACTAACCCATTAGCACACCAATTTACCTTGCTACTAAATGGAAAATCAATTCAAGTTAATTATGCAATGTCAATGATAACATGCATGTTGATAATATACTTATAATATGGATGTTCGATGATCACGTTGATGTTATGATGCTTAACACGATGATGATGATGATAATGATATGAAAACTTATCATTGGTAATGAAGGTAATTATGAATTTCTGATTATACAATATTCAGAATTATAATTGATGACTTCGCATCTACGATTAGCACGGTTGGCTACATGCGAGGTAAAAGAAATTCAGCATACATCCATACATTAAGGATTATAATGTATGATAGTGACGAACAGAATAACTATTATAGTTTATGAAAATTATGGCTTATGATTGACCGTGATGACGCAGAAGCTGGTGCTAATGATAACGATGTCAATAATCAAATTAATTATAATTGATGATAATAAAAATGACATTGTAAAAAATAAAACATTTGTTGACAAACGCACAGCCAACAAAGGTCTACGCCACAACATTGATATCCCCAACCACCCACCCACCACCCCAATCCTCCCCCACCCACTGCAGCACCACACAAATCTATTGAATGCAGCCCAGGAGCAAGGAGGGAGGCTGGCTGCCTAGCAACCGTCGTCACGGCAACCGGAGGGATGGGGACCATGGCTTGAGGAGGCTTGGAGAGGGCAGCGGTGGGGGGGGAGGAGGAGGATTGGTGGACGGGCAGGGGTGAGAGAGAGGATGGCTGAGTGGATGGAAGAGGCAAAGGGGATGGGGGGAAATTAACCCCCGTCTCACTCCTTCGGACAAAAGAAGACCGTCTCGGCACTCTCACACACACACGGGGGGGGGGGGTTAGCATAGCCCCCCCCCCGAGCCTCGCCATCTAAATTAGCGGTGATCATCTCACGTTTGGTGCCCTATGCGCGCGAGGTGATTTGTGTCCCAACACGCGAAAAACGTTGTGTGTGTGTGTGCACGTTGTGTGTGTGTGCACGTTGTGTGTGTGTGCACGTTGTGTGTGTGTGTGTGCACGTTGTGTGTGCACGTTGTGTGTGTGTGCACTTTGTGTGTGTGTGCACGTTGTGTGTGTGTGCACGTTGTGTGTGTGTGTGCACGTTGTGTGTGTGTACGTTGTGTGTGTGCACGTTGTGTGTGTGTGTGCACGTTGTGTGTGTGTGCACGTTGTGTGTGTGTGTGTGCACGTTGTGTGTGTGTGTGCACGTTGTGTGTGTGTGTGCTCGTTGTGTGTGTGTGTGCTCGTTGTGTGTGTGTGTGCTCGTTGTGTGTGTGTGTGCACGTTGTGTGTGCACGTTGTGTGTGCACGTTGTGTGTGTGTGTGTGCACGTTGTGTGTGTGTGTGTACGTTGTGTGTGTGCACGTTGTGTGTGTGTGCACGTTGTGTGTGTGTGCACGTTGTGTGTGCACGTTGTGTGTGTGCACGTTGTGTGTGTGCACGTTGTGTGTGTGTGTGTACACGTTGTGTGTGTGCACGTTGTGTGTGCACGTTGTGTGTGTGTGCACGTTGTGTGTGTGCACGTTGTGTGTGTGTGTGTACGCTGTGTGTGTGTACGTTGTGTGTGTGTGTGCACGTTGTGTGTGCACGTTGTGTGTGTGTGCACGTTGTGTGTGCGTGCGCGTTGTGTGTCCGCGTGTGTGACGGGGAGCGGTGGCGCCGGTGGTTGCCGTCGGCGCTGCGATTCCCGGCGACCCGAATTTGATTTTCACTTCATGGCCCGCCGCCTTCGGCGATGAACGTCCCAACTGGGGTCGGGCCTCCTCCTCCTCCTACTCGGTGAACCCCGGCCTCAACTGAGAACTGTGCCCGGGCGTGGTGTTCAACACCCTCTCCTGGGTCATGTTGGCCTTAATAGGTGCTCGCTAACAGCACTTGCCCCCCCCCCTCCCGAGCAGCTTGCACGGACTATATGGGGGGGGGGTCTTTCTCTTATTTATGTTCACGTGTGTGTGTGTCAGGCTGGCGTGTGCATATAAATCATGAGTGCGTCTGTGTTGCAATTATTTTGTGAACGTTTGTGAGAATATATGGATTGATGTGTGTGCATATGCTTTGTGTTTATACTTCGCTGCGTGCTTGTGTGCATCTGTAATGTGTCGTCTGTGTGCACGTGGGGTGAGTGGTCAGGCACTTAAAAGTGAAAATGTGTGTACTGGATGTGTATCGGTGTGTGTCGTAATGAAGTTGGACAAAATAAATTGGTGTATGTGTGTATGCACGTATGTATGTGTATATGCGGGAGTGTTGGCACAGTAGGGGGGTACAGCTGGTGGTGCATTTACCGGTCATCTCAGTCAACCAACCCATGGCACCTTCTGGGTCTGTCCCGTGACCTGCACCTAGCCTGGCACAGTAGGGGGGTACAGCTGGTGGTGCATCTACCGGTCATCTCAGTCAACCAACCCATGGCACCTTCTGGGTCTGTCCCGTGACCTGCACCTAGCCTGGCACAGTAGGGGGGTACAGCTGGTGGTGCATCTACCAGTCATCTCAGTCAGCCAACCCATGGCACCTGCTGGGTCCGTCCCGTGACCTGCACCTAGCCTGGCACAGTAGGGGGGTACAGCTGGTGCGTCTACCGCTCATCTCAGTCAGCCAACCCAGGGCACCTGCTGGGTCTGTCCCGTGACCTGCAC